TAGGCTCTGGGCATCAGGCAGCTGGGGCAGGAGGCTTGGGCCTTAGAGAGTTGGTCTCAGGATGCCTGGGACGACCAGGATGCCAGAGCTGTGGGCATCATCCCTTCCCACCCTGCTGCCCGCAGGTGTGAGCTGTCAGTGGAGAAGTCCACGGTGCTACAGTCGGAGCTCGAGTCCTGTAAGGAGCTGCAGGAGCTGGAGCCTGAGAATAAATGTGAGGCCCCATGCCCAGAGAACCCCTCTGGGAGGCCTCTTTCCTGGGGGGAGCTGGAAGGATGGGAGCCAGGAGGAGCCAGGAGAAAGCCTCGTTTTCCCCACCCCTCCCCACTCAGGGTGCCTGCTCACCATCATCCTGCTGATGCGGGCGCTGGACCCCCTTCTGTATGAGAAGGAGACGCTGCAGTACTTCCAGACCCTCAAGGCAAGTGGGGCCTTGGGGACAGGCAGTGGGGAGGCCCAGAAGGCAGGAGGAAGGCAGTGACACACCCACCCCTGCTGCAGGCCGTGGACCCGATGCGGGCCGCGTACCTGGATGACCTGCGCAGCAAGTTCTTAGTGGAGAATAGCATACTGAAGATGGAGTATGCCGAGGTGCGCGTGCTGCATCTGGCTCACAAGGTACGGGCTCCTACACGTGCCTCCCTGGGCCCTCGCCCCGCCACCAGCTCACCATGCCCTGGCCTTGCCTTCAGTCTCGGGTGCCTCCCTGGACAGTTCCTTCCAGTCGAGACTGAATCTGTCATCCTCTTTCCAGCCAGCTCCTCTTCCAGGCCCTGCTTTCTGTCACTTAACTGTCATTTTTCTTATCACCCAGTTTCAAACGCTGGGTCACTGTGGCCTCCCTGTACTGCCCCTTCCACTAGGCAGGTCACATCTCAGACATCTCCCCTTGTCTGTCCCACCCACACATTCCTACGAGTTTCACCCTGGAGCAGCCCAGATGCTTTCCGGAGATTCTGACAAGCTCTCCTCACTTCTGTCCCTCTTCTCCCCGACGCATGAGTTTTATCGCATCACTGCAACCCCCTCCACGCCTGTCAGTCCGTCCCCAGACCCACCAGCATCTTGGTTTACCCTGGCACCAACCCACTGTCCTCTGTACCTGCCACTCAGGCTGCATCCTCCCCGGCCAGCCCGCTGGTCACCCCCAGCACTTCTTTCTGTCCCCTGTCCGTGACGCGTAGCGTGCTCTGCCATGGGCCATAAGTGAGCCTCCCCTGCTCCTCTCCTCAGCTGGTCTCCCAGCTCCTGTCTGGGACCCAGAGGCAAGTGCCTACCAAGTGCAGGCCATGGACCCCTCTCAGGTCTCACTGAGGTCACACGACACCCCGCCCCTTCCCCAGGATCTAACGGTGCTCTGCCATCTGGAGCAGCTGCTCTTGGTCACCCATCTTGACTTGTCGCACAATCGTCTCCGAGCCCTGCCCCCTGCCCTGGCCGCCCTGCGTTGCCTCGAGGTAAAAGACTCAGTCCCCCGTCACTGTTCTGGATGGTCCCATTCCCCTTCCTCCACATGAGAAGCCTGCCCATGCTAAGCGGTCTGGGACCTCCCAGGCCCCACAGGTGGCCGCTTGGCTTCCCCTCTCCCTCGCCCAGCCTGACCCCTGAGCACTCCCATGCGCTGTAAAGCCGATCCTGGGCTCCGCAGTGGCTTGGCCGGTCTAAGGCCCCCAGCCGCCTGCTCTGCCTGTGCCTCCCTGCCCGCCTGTTCCCCAGGTGCTACAGGCCAATGACAATGCTATCGAGTCCCTGGACGGCGTCACTAACCTGCCCCGGCTACGGGAGCTGTTACTGTGCAACAACCGTATCCTTCCTTCAGGCAGCGGGTGGGCTGAGGTGCCACCCTGGGAGGGGCAGCCAGCCAACAGGGTAGGCACCACCCCAAGGTGGGGTGGGAGACGGGTTCCTGCCATGTGAACAGAGGGGAGGCAGCAGCCCAGGGCTATCTGAGGCCGTCACTGACTTGCACTGGCTGGGTTTTGCAATGGGACTTCCTCAGTTAGAGTTCACAGACGGGAAGCCTACAGATGTTCTTGGACACCATGTTAGTATTCACAAAATCAGGAAGTTTCATATTGTCAAAAATTGACAATTCTGATTTCTTTTGTAATTGGAAGTTAGAGCGACCTGTGCTTGCAGTGGGCAGCCTTCGTGAACAGCCCATGCCTCTGTGGACCAGGCTAGGTTCTATTTTGCCACAGTCTCCATCACTCTTTGTGCAGCCATACCCAGCCATGCCCACCCTGCCATGATGGGGGTTCTTCACGTGGCAGGAGCCTCTGTCTCCCACCCCACCTTATGCCGCCTGCCCGGCCCTTGTGGGCAGGTATTGCAGTCCCTACGGAAAGCCTCACTCCCTCCAGGGCAGCTTGTGGGTGCCCACCCCAGACTTTAGGCAGCAGTCCCCCAACTCCTGGGGGTGCACAGAGCAGATGGATCTGGAGGAACCCAAGGAGCTTTCCTTGACTCTCCTGTCCAAGGCCTCCAGCAGCCGACGACGCTCCAGCCTCTTGCCTCCTGCCCAAGGCTGGTCCTCCTCAACCTGCAGGGCAACCCCCTGTGCCAAGCAGAGGGCATCTTGGAGCACCTGGCGGAACTGCTGCCTTCAGTCAACAGCATCCTCACCTGAGAGCCCTGCCACTGCCCTTGCCCTTTAACTTATTGGGACTGAATAAAGAATGGAGAGGTCCCCTCAGGCTACCAAGCTGCTGTTACCACTGCCACCACTACGCCAGTCCCCCGTTATTACTGCCACGCATTTTGGGAAAAGAAAGGGAAGGGACTCGGGGTGTGTTGGCTCGCCCTCTCCGCTCTCATTTCTGTTCTCCAGCCCGTCGTGGAGAAGCACAGCCTCAGTGTTTGGGGCTGGGGCTGGCTCGGAGTTCCAGGCTAGGATTAGCTATTGGGATCAGGTTTGGGTTCACGTTGGACCGCAAAGCAGCTGCAAGTCTGTCCAGCCGGAAGAGCTCATAAGTTTCTCCAGTGAGCCCTGCCCCTTCCAGATGTCCTCTGCAGTCTGGAAGACTCGTGCTCCAAGTTGGCAGGAGTGGGCGGGGGCACCTTTGCTCCACCCTGCTAATGACAGCAGTGTCAGTCCCCTTGAAGAGCATTCCTAGGTTGAAGAGCCCTTGCAAATACTTGATCCCATTTGATCCTCACAAGCTATCAGGGGATAGGCCCTGCAATGATTAGGCCCATTGTACCGATGAGGAAATTGCAGTTAAGGCTTGACTGAGGTGTCTGAACTCAAATGTTGGAGCCAAGGTTGTCTCTAGCTTGGTCCAGGACCTTAGACTCATGTTCTTGTTCCTATATATGGGATATCTGGGCAGAAGGCCCGGCCTCGGATCCCTGAGCTACGGGGCTGGATGTCTACCCCAGGTTGCACCCACCACCCCTACATACACCTGTCTTGACTTTGGAAGCACCAGGCCTCTCAGAGGGAGGAAAGGGGAGTGGCCTGGGGTTAGGACACTGAGTAAACTTGGCTTGCTAGTGTGAGAAAGATTGAAATGAGGGAGAGAGTGAGACAAAAGAATTTTCCTGGTTCTCTAGGAAGTGCCTGGGCCCACATGTGCTCACACGCATCCGGATACGCATAGCCCTGCCCCTTCCCGTATCCCCAGTGATGCATAACAGCCCCTCAGTGAAGCTGATTTGGCTCACTTTCCTGGAATTTTGATTTCCACTGCTGTGTCTACTGAAGGTGTTGGAATTGGGGCAGATCCTGCACCCCCAACCCCCACTTCCTCCAGGTTCTGCTTGGGGCTGGACAGAAAAGTACGCATGGGTGCGAAGGGCTTTGTGTCAGGTCCTGGAACCTCTGTCCCCACTCCTGAGGTCCCTCCCTGCCTGACGCATCACCAGCAGCCTCTCAGGTCCGCTTCCTTGTCTCTTGCCACCTTGTTTTCACTGTCTGTGGTGGCCGCGGGCAGAGCTGCCATACTAGTGGAATAGAGAGAAGAAGCCACTGGCCAATGGGCCAAGAGCAGCAAGGAGCCTCCCTGGAGGTTCCCGGCCTGGGGTTGTCTCAGTGGCATCTCTGGCATTTTTCCCAGTGCCTGGGGTGGAGTTAGGATGCACGTTGGGCAGGTGCCTGGAGCCGGTTGATCTGGATTCCCAAGAAGAATTCCAGGTTGGAGAAGAGGGGGATCCTCCACTCCAGCTGACTAGATGCTCCTCAGTGAAAGAAAGGGATCTTCTGCAGCTCAGAGAGGGAGCCTCAGTTCCACCACCCCCAGCCTGAGTGTAAGTGCCTAAGCCTCTCCCAGGCCCCCAGGCTGGCTGAGGGGCAGGGACAAGAGATTGCTCCTACTCCCAAACTTGGGAGGCACAGGAAGCTGAGGGCAGCCCACTCATGCCAGGGGCTACAGAGCAGCTGGGGGAAGGAGGGAGGGGGGGTGTCAGAAGACCTGGTAGAGCCGGCAGGTCAAGGGCCAGCTGGTGGAGCCAGTCTGAGGGCCTGACTGCTGATGTCACCAGTCTGCAGCCTGGAATCTGGGGACCTCCCCGGGCAGGGAGTTCAGGACCAGGGCCAAGCCTGGCCTGGGCCGCAGGGGAGTTCGACAGCAGGGGTCTGTGAGAGCAGAGGTAGGTAGCCTGTGCTTAGGAACGAAGTCTGCCGGAAAGGGCCGTGGGTAGGAGACTCTGGGCCCCATCACCCTGAGTCTGCTCTGTTTGGTACACGGGCTCCTCTCGCACCCAGTCTGGCAAAATCAGCCTGGTGTGGGTCCGTCACACCAGTGAGTCTCAGGTAAACTTCCCGTTTTCACTCCAGCCTTCCCTCGGCATATCCACACTCCTTCCCTGGCATCATCTCAGTTCCTCGAAAAGGATTTCCCTACTCCGGAGACAGCCTCAGACGCTGGGCCTCTTCCCTTGGGCATGGAGCAAGAGCCACCACACTTCCCCTTCCTAGCAACGTGGCCACACCCTTCCCCCTCCCCTCTCCTCCCCTCCCCTCCCCTCCCCTCCCTCTCCTCTCCTCCCCTCATAAACCACTTACTGAGCTGTCCCACACCTTCCACTCAGAGGTGGCAGCGTCCAACCCGTCTGTCAGTCCCGTCCCATCACCTCAGTCCTGACCTGTTCCACTGTGGCCCTGGGACTCAGCGCTGCTGTCATCAACACCACAGCCAGGTGAGGGGCTCTGATGGGCACCCCAGTGCTGAGCCCTGGGGGTGGCTGTCACCGCCAAGGGACCACATGTGCTGAGCTCTGGCACCAGCAAAGGGGGATGCAAGCCAGCCCATACCTGTGGGCCCAACCGAGCTGCTCCCCAGCACCGACTGATTGCCTAGACTCAGCACCGACTCTGGGCACCTGCTGAGCCTCACCCATCCCAACAGCCTTCTGTGGGGTTTGCCTCCACATGGGGAATGGCAAGGGCCCACACAACAGCTGCCTGTCTGGTAGGGAGCTTTGAGTGGGGAGATCTCTGCTAAGAAATGGGTCCCAGAGGCTGTTAGCTTCCTCTGGAGAGACGATCCAGCAGGTGAAGGGACCAGGCCCAGGGACCCTTGGATGCCCGGGTCTGTGTGACTGTTTCCTGAGGCTGTGACGAGTGTCCATGCGGGAAGCTTTGAACGTTTCCTGGGATGGGTCCTCTATTGGCCTTTGTTTTTTGAATGTGGTTTGGTGGGTAGACACCCCAGGTGGGAGTGGGGGAAAAGCTTTTCTCTGCAGCGTGGGAAGCCTTCTCTGGGTGAGTCCTGATGGAATCTGTAGGGAGGGTGCCTGGGTGGGTCTGGGGAAGTCTCTGGGTCGAGGTCACAATGTCTCTTCATCTGGCTGGGACTGAATCGGGTCTTCAGATGGAGAGTTTCTTAGTGGGTTGGCTGGGGCACTCTGGACGGAGTTCCAAGTGGTGACCAGAGCCTCCCTGCCTCTTCTGCACAGGCATGATGGACGGTCCTCGTTCGGACGTGGGCCGCTGGGGGGGGAACCCCTGGCAGCCCCCTAGCACACCTTCTCCAGAGCCAGAGCCAGAGCCAGACAGACGTTCTCGAGGAGGAGGCCGATCCTTCTGGGCTCGCTGCTGTGGCTGCTGCTCGTGCCGGAATGAAGTGGATGATGACCGGAGGCCTGAGCCCTCTGGGAGCCGGAGACCTGACTCTTCTCGGGGCTCAGACTCTCCTCGCAGGCCCGGCTCGGGGGGCAGTGCTGTGAATGCAGCGGGAGACGGCACTATCCGAGGTGAGGCGGCTCTGCCCACCTTAGCTGGGACCTGAGACTCGGCCTGGCATCTCTGGGCTGGGAGGGAGGCCAGTGATGGGGGCCCGGGCTTCTGACCCAGAGCTGTGGCCTTGCAGAGGGTATGCTGGTGGTGACCGGTGTGGATTTGCTGAGCTCGCGCTCAGACCAGAACCGCCGAGAACACCACACGGACGAGTTCGAGTATGAGGAGCTGATTTTGCGCCGCGGGCAGCCTTTCCGCATGGTCCTCTTCCTGTCCCGGCCCTATGAGTCCTCCGATCGGATCACCTTGGAGCTGTTCATTGGTCAGTGCGGTCTGGCATGGGAAGGGTGATGGCCCTAGTTCCGTGGGAGTGCGAGGAGGAGGAGGCGGCTGGCCTTAGGGGTCAGAGAGGTCTTTAGGCTCCTCCCCTGCCCCACTCCTCATCTCTGCCAGATAAGGCAGGAGCAGGTGTGTGAGTGTGTACGAAGGGGTGTGTCTCAGGGAGGGTCTTGGCCTTGCAGGTTTTACCAGGCTCATCCTCCTTGAGCCTGGGGGGATCTGTCTCTGAGTGTTTCCTCTTCAGTGTTCCTTTCTGCATTGCTGCCTTGGTGGGTAACTTCTTTCTGCTCTTTCCACAGGGTATGACTAGTTCTCTCTACTGTCTCTCTCTCTCTCTCTCGGTCCAGCTCAGTTTCTCTCTGTCTTTATCTCTGTCCCCTGACCTAGGGCAGGTGCCTCTCTCACTGCGTTGCCCGGTGGCCCATTGACTGCCCAGGCTGGTGATTATGCCTCTGCCGGGGGCGGGAGACTCCTCTCACCCTTTGATTAGGCCCTGGCCTGGCCCACCCTGGCCTCTAATTTCCCAGGTACCCCTACCACCTGCAGCTGGGGTGCCTGGGCTCGGAAAGCCTCAGCCCCCGGAAGCAGGCAGGGTCAACCTTTTACCTGGGGCAGGGATCTGCACCCAGTCAAGATGGCTGTGTTCCTGTGGCCCAGGCATGGGGACAGGAAGGCAGGCAGAGGGTGACAATGGCCCTGGGCTCTCCTCCCTCCCTGTGAGTTTAGTATCAGGGGAACAGGTTTGGGATGTTGGACTGGGGCTCTGCCCTGACACATGGGCAAGCACCGGGTGGGGACAGAGTCGTTCTCAAAGAGACTGTCACAGACTAAGGCGATGACCCAATGCAGGGACATGCACACACATCGGCTCATACACACTTTGGGTGGGGCTGGGAGAGGCCCAGACTCCATTCCCTTTCCTCAGGGAAGCCTCACCTGCTAACTGCCACTTTCCCCACTCTAGGAAACAACCCCGAGGTGGGCAAGGGCACCCACGTGGTCATCCCAGTGGGCAAGGGGGGCAGTGGAGGCTGGAAGGCCCAAGTGACCAAAGCTGATGGGCAGAACCTGAACCTGCGGGTCCACACCTCCCCCAATGCCATCATTGGCAAGTTTCAGTTCACGGTCCGCACGCAGTCAGAGGCAGGGGAGTTCCAGCTGCCCCTTGACCCCCGCAATGAGATCTATATCCTCTTCAATGCTTGGTGCCCAGGTGAGTAGCCGGGGTGAGGAACAGGGAGTGGGTGGGAGGAGGGAAGGGCAGGTCCAGGCTTCCTTTCCTAGGATCCCACTGGGAGGAGCCTTGCATTGGCCAGGTGAGGGGACCTCAGCCCAGTGTAGAAAGGTGGCAGGTCCAAGGACATATGGCCAGCCTCACCTGTCTTGGTGGGGAGCCCTGGCTAAGGCCAACCTACTGTCGCCATCTCTGTCATGCTTCCACCATCCTTCCTGAGAGCAGTCCTTTCAGACGAGGGACATCCCATTGTGTCTTCTGTGGACACGTGTCCTGCAGAACTGGCTGAGGCAGGGGGTGCCCAAGAAAAGAACTGGAGGGAACCATGCATGTGTGTTCTGGGACGCAGAGGACATCGTGTATGTGGAGCACGAGGACTGGAGGCAGGAGTATGTGCTGAATGAGTCTGGGAGAATTTACTATGGGACCGAAGCACAGATTGGAGAGCGGACCTGGAACTATGGCCAGGTAGGACTGGCCAGGGCCACGGGCACTCAGGGGAGCTAGAGGTGAGGGGGGCTGGGCAGGACTGGAGGTGGAGCAGAGAGCTGGCCTAGGGTGGCGCTGGGCCATGGGTCACAGTCACCTGTGCCCTCCCTCCTTGCAGTTTGACCACGGGGTGCTGGATGCCTGTCTGTACATCCTGGACCGGCGGGGGATGCCATATGGAGGCCGCGGGGACCCAGTCAGTGTCTCCCGGGTCATCTCTGCCATGGTGAGCACCCTGGTGTCTCTGAGCCCTACTGCGCGTCTGCCTGCTGCTTCCCCTGTCACTCCTCCCCACCCAGGTCTGCCCCGTCCCTGCCCTTGCAAAGGGAAATGCGGGAAGGGGTCTCACCCTTGCCTGCCCCCACCCCACCCTTCCTGGCTCCCTTCCTAGCTCCTGTGGAATGTAGGGCCAAACCCAAAACTTGGCACACCCAGGATTCACATTCCTGTGTCAGTCCAGGGGTGGGAGGGGGCGGACTGCTCAGGGAGGAATGGGTGGAGCTCAGGCTAATGTCTAGGTCTTCGGGCATTAAGGGGAAAGGGGTGGTTGCAGGGTCAGGGGATGGGCTGGAGACCACGTGGCAGGTTCTGAACCCCTCCCCAGACTTGGCCTCAACCCATCTTATCCTGGGCAGGTGAACTCCCTGGATGACAATGGAGTCCTGATTGGGAACTGGTCTGGCGATTACTCCCGAGGCACCAACCCATCAGCATGGGTGGGCAGCGTGGAGATCCTGCTCAGCTATCTACGGACCGGCTCTTCCGTCCCCTATGGCCAATGCTGGGTCTTTGCTGGTGTGACCACCACAGGTAATGGAGGGACCAGGACAGGAGTGGCCCAGGCCCTCCAAAGAGGAGGAAGGGAAGCCAGGCTCCCCCTTCACCCAGCTCAGTCCAGCTCTGGCTACTGTGCAGGGTGCAGACGGGGGTGGAAGGTAGACTGGCTCTTAATTATCATTAATTAGTGTTAACAACAGAGAGAGGCCTAAGGGAGCAGAGGGTGGAGGGATAGGCAGGGACTGAGCCAGGCAGGTGGCCTGGCTTCCCCTAACCTCAAGTGCCCGATGGCCCTGGTGACCCCTGGCCCTGGTGGTCCATGCCAAGCTTGGCAATCCCAGTTGTCCACCCTCCCCCCCCCC